TCCTTTTGGCCTCTGGCTCAAAATAGGGAGTTCAAATTCATCTCCTGCTTAGGAAGGTGCTATGTTGTGCAGATCCAAATTCTCTTGGGTAGCAACCACTCTCTTCTCTTTCTTCAGCATTCTGAGAACCTACAGTATACAAATCCTTGAGTATCTAAGAGATTAAATTCCAAAGACTAATATGGCTCACCTAAAAGCATCCATAATATTCTGCAATAGTGATTATTCTGTCAGCTGTATTAAGATCATCATCTGGTTTGGCCATATCTTAATTTACAACAGCAGCTGGACTGCCATTTTAGGGCTTGTCACTAAGGTCTGTTTCTCCTTTAGAATTGCCATTAACTTTACAAATCTATCTCCTCATTGTGCTTATATCAGGTGAAGTCTTCCCATAAATATTCACTAACCTCCTGCAAATTCTTGCATCAATTCTTTGAGAAACAGAAATTCTTTAACTGCTCTCTGCTTTATTCATGTATCTAGTGAAGCAGTTGAAAGAGTATTATGGATAGAAAAAGAAAAGATAACTCCAGAATCTTTTTCTCTTGGCTTCTAGATACTTTTTATGATGCTATGGCTAAAACAAATTCAAATAATTCTGCTAATACTTTTCAACTTCAATTAGAACAGGTAGACATTTTTGGTCAACCTTTGGACTTTCATGTTTCCCACCACTACTATAGTTGGTGTTCAAATCCTGGTAAAATACAAGGATTTTTAATGCTGAGTTTTAAGGAAGGTAAGTCCTAGCTAATTAGAATTGGTTTAATGCAATCTGACTTTCTGCCACTTCTTTCATATGTGCTTGTAAGCTTTATAACCTACATTTTGAATCTTCTGTTACCCAAGCATTAAGGCCCTGTAGAGATTTCACCCAACCAAATCTCTAGTCTTTTTTTTAATCCAAACAAATCTAACGTCTCCCACCCTAAACATTTGCTTAATCTGTCCACCCGTCTTAGGAGAATTGCAATCACATGACAAGATAGCAGTTTATTCATTCCAGATGTTGAGAAGATGGAGAAAAAGAAAAAAGGGCAGCAATTATAAACATATTGAAAAGATCTTTATTCCTGAAGCTCCAACTGAGTGAAAAAGAAAAGCTTTAAGCAATCGTGTAAATGGCAAAAAGATAAATATAGTTTCTTTATATATTTTGAACAAATTTATTAAATTTGAACAAATTTATTAAAAGTGAAGAAATAAACTTGAAGAGTTGATTTTCACATTTCTTTCAAAATAAATTGGCTGAAAAATTTTTATCTCTACATCAGGATTACAGAATTTCACTTCAGAGGATTTGAAAAGCATTTGAGTTACAGTGATATTGATGATTATCTCAATGATGGGCCGGTTTCCAAAAATATCTTCTTGGTGATATCTATATTTGGAGAAATAGTTCCAATTAATTGAAGATATTTATTTATAAGACAATTTCTTTTTTTTATTATGTGTATCCTTTATTTCATGATCTATTAAATTTTCTGGTTTGTATAAATATAGTTTACATCATTAAAAATGTATGTAGACAGAAAACACTACACTGAATTTGACACAAATTGGTATGTGTGCAGACACACATACAAATACATGCAAACATATATACATACACACATATACACACTTACAAACACATATACATACATAATGAAAGAACTATAGAAATTAAAAAAATATATATCAGTCTCATTTGTAGATTTATAGTATTAAACAAAAGGACAGTATTGTTTGCAATAAAATGTTATCAAACAACTTCTGAGGTCAAGTTAAAAACTTTCAAAAGGTATAAATAAAAATGCATTTTTGTTCAAATATGTAAATTAGTTCCAAACATAAAAAAAATGAAAAAATGCCTTTTGTTCTACAGATAAAAATACAGAGAGGGAGTGAAATGGGTGTTCATCCATTTTGATTTGCTCATATCTATCTACCTCCATATTCCAACTGTAAACAGGAAGTTCCACTCTGACCCTCCTCCCACATGGATACTTCCATGAACATTACCATTTGGACCTCTTCAAGTCAAGGGCCAATCCTTACCTATCCTACATATCAACATAATTATCACTTCCAACTTTCAAATCTTACAGTCATATTGCATATCTCATTCAGTAAGCCTCTACCTTGAGTGGCTCTTGAATATTAGTAAAAAAAAAAAAGAATCTCAGTTTGTTCCTATCTATTTAGTTGCAGTATAAACCACAGGTGGGCTCAAAATATGCCTGAGCAGGGTGTACATGACTGGAATTGGCTAACCACCCTAGGCATGCTTGGAAAACAAGGGTAGTCAGCCATTATCTGTTTTCATATTTATCTATCTTCATATCTATCCACCTACTTATCTAACTATTTTCCTATGTATTTATCTTCATATCTATTTCCATATCTACCTTCCTTCATATCTATCTATTTTCATATCTATCTGTCTATTTATCTACCTACCTATCTACTTTCATATCTATCTAACTACCTTCATATTTATCTACCTACCTACCTATTTTCATATCTATCTGTCTGTCTGCCTGCCTATCTACCTTTATATCTATCTGTCTACCTACTTATCTATCCAGTATATTGTTTGCACAGCATTTCAGCCATATAGTGAGGAATGGTTGGATGTTCTGCTGTTTTTCAACCATTGGCACTCTCTAGGACAACCACAGAGACAGCATTGTTCTATGTCCTGGTCTTCATATCTGCAGACCTCATCACTGCTGCTGCTTCACGGTCATCATCAATGAATTCAATCTCTACTCACTCTCATACCATCGCAGCATTAGATGTCTACTTTGGCACATTAGCATCAATAACATAAAGAGCAGTCTAGATATGACTGGTATTCTTTCTTGGTTGCAGTTTGTGGATCTTCACCAGGGAGATAGTAAATGCCCTGGTTGGATAACCATTCTTTTGCATACAGTAAGTTGCCTCGATGGTGTGTTAACTGCAGTAACTCTTTTACAAATGTCAATCTAAATGTAGATGTTTGTTGTTCAACAAACGGTGGAGTGAAAAATAGCTAAATGTAAGTCAATGATACAATCTTGTGCTGGTTGTGGTTAAGATATCTGACATTATTAAACCCTAACTTTTTTTGCCATGTAGACTCCAAGGTAGCTCAGCTAATGATGAACACTGAAAAGCCAGCTGGTTCTTTCAGTGAATTCCTTTAGCAATCATCTGCAGCAACACATTTGGCATTACAATGAAAGGAACAGAACTAATAACATTCATCTTTATTGTAAAGAAATAAAGAGAATGTTTACAATTTTAAAAAAGTAAAAAAGATTGTTTAAAATTAAAAAAAAACAGGAAAAATGTTTAAATTTAAAAAGAAAAGAACAAGAATGTTTAAAATTAAAAAGAAAAAAAAAACAGAAAAAAAAAGGAAATATTGACAGAGAATTACGGAAAATGTTCAAACCAGATGAACAATTCTTAATATTTATTTTTAAAAAATTGGTATCTATAATACCAGCATATTTGGTTACCTTCTGTTTAAAAGTAAAATCAATGGGCATGTTGTAGACCAGAAAATATATATAAGTAGACATAATATATATATATATATATATATATATATATATATATATATATATATATATATATATGTGTAGAATTTATAAAAGTATCCGAAAAAAGTGAAGATGATGTGACAAAGTTGAAAATTTATTAACTACACATTTTATTCTAACCTGAGAAAGCCAAAGTGAGCATACACTCTCCAGTGAAACATATTCTTAATAAATTTTTTCATTTTTTCATATATATATATATATATATATATATATATCAAAAATCTTATTTAGATTATTATGTGTGTGTATATATAATAATCTAATAGCTGAGATCATCAGAAGTCTTATTTAGATTATTATTATGTGTGTATATATATATATATATATATATATATATATATATACAAATGAGAGAAAGAACAGATTGAGAAAAAATTCACAATGCGTAGCATTTATTTTTAAAAAGTGCTCAATACAAAGTAGAGCAAAATATTATTATAATATATATATATATATATATATATGTATGATAAACCTGTGGAATAGATTTTAGTGTTTTGTGGTTAATATGACCATATAGTTCAAAGACATTTCTATTGCCATAGAATTCTTTCATTTTAAACTTTCACTTAACAAAATAAATATTGGTTATCCAATAACTTTTTTTCCTTGAAAATGACCAGCAATGACTGAAAGTACTTGGATCATAACACAATTTTGTTAAGGTCATTTCAACCAGTTATGTGTGTGCGTGTGTGTTCAGACTTAAATCTGGCGGAAGAGACAATACTTAAAATACCTATAGACACAACCTTATCAATTACAAAACATTATAAGATAATAATGGCTTAGAAAAGCTAAAAAGTTTGTGTAAGATATTGAACGGTTTATTTTCAAACTATCTTTGAAAACCAGTAAAATGGTCCAAACGAAAGACAAAGTTAATGTAAAAATCGTATTGGTGCATAAATGTGAAATTGCTGTGCTTACTAAATACATAGTATGGACATATATATATCAAAAAATGAAACAAAATTGGATGCTTGGTTATTTGGCCATATTTAGGGAAGTGAGTTGAGCTGAGGACTCTCCACCATCTCCCTGTGTGTGTTTATATATATATATATATATATATATATATATAAAAAAAGAAAGTAACATTGAGAGAGGTATTTGCTTCTTCAAATTCATTTACAGCAAACAAATTCCTGCCAAATAACAAAATATTTAAATCCAGCCTATTAATAATTGTCAAGTTGTTTAAACCAACCATAAAATTATTATAAAAATATTTTCTTTCATTATGAATTTACATGGTAAACAACAGTGAACCCTTATCAAATTAATTCTGTGTAAAAAAATTTAAATTTGAAAGAATTTAAATTATTTTTTTTTAGAAGATTAAGTAAAGGGAAACTGGAAAAGTGTTTTTTAACCTTTGCAGACAATTTAAATAAGAAAAAAATTAAAATTATTTACCTTTTGGTAAGTCCACAAGAATAGAATGTTGTTGATTCTCCATTACAGTTTGTCAAGTAAGCAATGAGAGCGAGAAAGTGATATAGAAAGGGAGGGAAGGAAATGAGAAGAGAGAAGTGAGTATGAAGAGAGATGGGGAGTAAAAAGAGAGAGAGAGAGGTGGGGAGTGAGAAGTGTGATGCAGATGGAAAAGAAAGAGTGAGGGAGGATAAAGAGAGGGGGAGAGACTTGAATAATAAAAAATTTGTCCTTATCAACTTGTTCTCATTTTTGAAGCCTGCTTATTGAAATGTAATGTGTTTCTTTTTTTTTTTTTTTGATGTGCTGTCACCAATATTAGCTTATATAGGGGAAAACTTCCATGACAAATTCACTTTATGACAAAAGAGTGAAAACAGGTCAATGTTTGACAATAAAATTATTCAAACATTATTAATACTTTAATGTTGTTGGACTAATTGATTTTTTCCAATAGTTACAATTAGGGGCTTTCATAGTAGTGTAAGTGACAGCAAGTTACGAGCTACTGTACCATTATCATTTATTATTATTCCATTTCACACCATTAATATCTGGTGACACTTAATAGAGATCAAGCGACAACAAGCCTTCCTGATATTATGGCAACTACTCTGATGAATTACTTTCATTGGTACCCCAACTGCATGAATTTAAGTGTGCTACTAGGTTGGCATCTCGGTCCCACTCTTTCACTGTCGAAACGGTTAAATGTAGCCATCTATTCTACTCCAGCAGTTTCTTCTCTCACCCTTCCTGGCAGTGCAACTCCCTTCCTCTTACTTGCTTCCCTGATAGCTATAATCTTCAAATATGTAATGTCAATCGACATCTTCTGATGCCTTGATCCCTTCCTTAAACACCCCTCTTTCCTCTTGCTCTCACTCTTTGTAGCCCCCTTGCGTGCTAGTGGCACTCCTGCCTTGCTTGAAGTGAAATGCTTAAAAAAAATAAAAAAATATTCCAGCTGATTTTAGAAACAAACGATAAGTTTAAGTTTTTTTTCTATGGATTTCCAATTTTTACAATCTTTTTCTTAAACATTTGTAAACTGTTTCAAGCATTCCAATAATGATGGGTATTTCCACTCTCTAGAACATTATTATTATTATTTAAATCTTTTACCATTCTTAATAATGCTTTTGACAAATTATTATATAAATATTATGCAAAATAAATTAATAAGCGATTTATTTTAAATTAATGCATAAAATGAATATGAAAAAATCCACAAAGTTCCATCAAAACTACAATTTATTATTAAAGACAGACTTGGTCATGTGACATCTTTACCTTAAAACATACAGTAGATAAGTAGGAAATATCAGTTTCAAGTTTTATTCTGATTAAGATTCATCCTTTGGATTTCTAAACGATTAGGGAACTGGTAAATATTAAATAAGTGAGATTTTTAATTAGAAGATTTAGTAAACATTACTACAGTATGTTTGTCATGGTAGTTTTTTTCTTATATTACATTTTCTATATTAGTAAACATTATACCATAAACATAATTTTTTTTAATTTCCTAAAGGAATCATTTTTGTAGAGACATACACAGGAATGATAATGGTGCAGTTCTATACAGGAAACATTTGGCATTCATTGACTGGACAGCATTATTGTCAGTTGAAATTTATAAAATCTTTCTCTTGAAACTGTTTTTCAGGAAAATAGGTTTCTCAAGTCAACTGTTATTGTTCTTTCCAGTGCCGATGGAGGTTTATTTCCTAACCTTTTGTTTAAGGTAGTGTGGAAAGTCATTATATTGATTATATTTTCCTTCCAGTTATATGTGCTATCCATTTTAGTTGTTGCAGCTGTTGGAAGTCTGCAAGTGATGTTTCTTGTTATTTGGTAAAGTTCTTTGTTTGTGATTCTGTGGCATCAGTTGATAAATCTTATCTCTTTCTTTTGTCTTCAAAGAAAATATAAAACTATGAAATATTTTTTAGACTTTCAAAAAACTCTCTCTGCTGACAAAAAAAAAAAAAAAATAAAGCTTACCATAGGACAATGGTTGGTAAGTTTGTTCCTAAGACCAAATTTGGTATTTTAATGTGTGTTCAATCCAGACAAGAAGTACCATGATCATGGCCATGTATTAGATGAAGTTAAGCAGAGAAAACATTTGTATGTTTACCATACATTGATGGCTAACAAGCTTATTTTTATAGATCTATTTGCTTTGAGAGAACTCTTTACTGTAGTCTTGTGCTAGACAAAGCAAAGCTTATTAAGTAACTAAAGGTCTGAACAATTAAAACTTTAAGCTTCAAGATGATTTTTTTTTTAAGCATGTCACCCCAAGCAAGGCAAGTGCCACTAGCATGCAAAGGGTTAAAGAGAATGAGAGCAAGAGTAAAGAGGGGTGTTTGAGGAAAGGATAAAGAGAAGGACGGGGATTAGGATTAAGGCATCAGAAGATGTCGATTGATATTACATTTGAATATATGAAAGATATAGCTATCAGGGAAGCAAGTAAGAGGAAGGGAGTTTCACTGTCGGGAAGTGCAAGAGAAGAAGCTGTTGGAGTAGAAGGAGGACGGGACCGAGATGCCAACCTAGTAGAATGCTTAAGTTCATGAAGTTTGGGAACCAGTGAAATTAGCTCGTTAGAGCAGTTACCATGAAAATATTTGTAAAAAAGACAGAGGGAAGCCACAGCACATCTGTGAGACAGTGACTGTAGATGAGATGCCAGATCAGGATCTATCACATTGCATATACGTCTCTGGATTTTGTTGAGGAATAAAAATCCGAGTGTAAATAAACAATTTCATTCAAAGAAAATTTATAAATTTTAACTTCTTTCAGTAAACAACATGTGATGGACTTGCCCATTTTCTTCAACATATGAGCATCCAATAATTCAGAACTGAACTGCTTAATTCGTTGGAGATACACTAATAATATTTATGTTGGTCACACCACAAACTCGCTTTCACGACGCTTGACACTACATCTTAATGAAAACTAACATTTTAGGCATTTAAAACAACATGCCTGCCCGCACACACAATTCCGTAAAAATACTTGTCGAAAAAAACACAACTATACTTCGACATGAAAACAATAGACAAAAACTAAAAATACTTGAAGCATTATACATCAAACAGTTAAAACCCAACCTAAACAAAATCAACTATGGAATCTCTACAAATATTCTTAAATGTCTATAATTTCAATAATTATAACAGAAGCCATTGGTTATACCAACGGCTTTCCTTATTTCATTCTCCAATTCACTCTCGTAGTCATGTGTGACGTCATGAGATGCGGTGCGATTTTCGCTTCTAGCGTCTTATATGCGCGTGTTCATCGTTGCTTAGTGATCCACTATGTAAACATAACAATGACAGACTATATCATCACTGTCGTGTCCATATATTGTTTGATATGTTTGTATTTACATCTTTGATAATGGCTTGAGTAAGCCGAAAGCTTAGATTTTATTAAAAAATAATGGATAAATATTGTGAATTTCTTTTTTCCGTAAATGATAATGTTACCAAACTTATCAGAAGATACGAAAAAATTTTACATAAAATAAATAGACAACACTTGTCTATATTATTTAATGAAACGTGTATAAATGAAAATATGCTGCCTAAATATATATATATATATATTTATATATATATATATATAGTTAATGGGGGTGTGAAGATTTGGCCTTGTCAAAATATTCAACACTTCCATAAAAAAAGGGAAAGAAGAAAGCAGATAAAATGCAATAAAAATATTTCATATTCATGAATTGTTGATGTGGTTTTGCAATGAATGTTTTGAGTTAAATGTCTTCTTTGGAAGACAAAGTTTTCATGTTGCTATAGACAAAACAGACATGATGAAATCGACAAAACAGACATGTTGAAATCGATGAAACAAGGGAAGATTTCTTCCTTTACTTCCAGTAACATTATTTCCTATTTATGCTAAACACATGGACAGAGTATGAGACACAAGGATCTGAGCAAAAATATGTTGAATTCTATTTGAAAGTGTCTTTATTGAAGATCATATATAACTTCTAATTATGGGCACGTGCCCAAGGGGTTAGAATGTTCGCATTCTGACCATGAGACCTCACCACGGTTGATTTGTCAGGAAGGGGACTTCTTGACATTATCTGCAGGGGGACAATCCCAGTGTGCAACACCTTTGGAAAGTGCCAGAAAACCATACCACAGGTTGACCCAAGCCTTGTGAGTGAAATTAGGTAGACAGAACTCTTGTAGCCAGTCTATGTGCTAGCACAAAGTCACAAGTCATCATGGCTGAGGGCTTGAGCATGCTGGCTTTGTTCAAACTGTTAATCATGCTAGATATTATGCTCTTTCACAGAAAGTGTAACTAAGATCTGCTCAGCATAGTTGCAGTGTAAACCACAGGTGGGCTCTGTGTTTTTTTTTTTTTTTGAATAAACATAAAATGTGCCTGAGCAAGTGTCGGCAATAGGGATTGGCTTGCTGCCCAAGTAGATGGGCATCCTCGAATACAAGTGGCCAGCTATAATATATAATTTCTAAGAACTTAATAACTATAAATGCTTAAAAGCTGAAATTTTTCATATGTTTTAAATGCTGAGTAAATTTTATTTTTCTCTAGAAATTATGTTAATTAAATTTTAAATTGGTATCCACTCAGTAAGGATATCATATTTTATTAATAATTTTAAATAAAAAGGTTTTGTCTGAAAATGATTAATTAATAGATTAATCAATAGATTATATTCTAATTAAATTTGAAATTGTATAATTTGTTCATTTTATTAAATCTTAATTGATATAAATTTTTACAATCACAAACACAAGTCGCTATATATATATATATATATATATATATATATATATATATATATAATTCCTATGTCAACATTTGTTTGCAATGAAATAAAGATGAGATTAAAAAATAACCATAATTTAATGTTTTCCAAATGTCAAAATCTATTTTTTTTTGTAATTGTTGTATCCTGTCAGCACTCCCAAATTTTTAAAAACAACTGAAAGAAAAAAGCCTAAC